GATCTTTTGAAAAAATCCTTTTACATTTCATCGTATAATGCGTAATAATGAATTTTTATTTTTATTTTTAATTTTTGGCGGAAACTATAGCAGTGAAAGAAGAACCTGGAGCAGGGCTTGCATTTGAAAAAAAAAATGTTGTTTTACGTAATTTACAATTAAAGCGTTATTCAACTTTTGTATTTATCGCTATTCAGATCGAGTTAAAATTTTTAATATATTTTATAAATTATAACTATTAAATAATTGGAAATTAATTATTTCATTTAATGATATACTGTATTTAACATTTTGCGTTATGTTTTGTTTTATGATATATCATATATTTTGTTAATTGTTATGTTTTGTTTTGTGTTATTTAACTACCTATATATATGTTTGTCATTTTCCGTAACAATTACGTTACAAATCTCAATCATTTTTGGTCAAATATAACGTAATAATCATAACGTTATTATAACGTTTGCAAGCCCTGACCTAAGAGATTTGCAAATTTGGTGAGGCGGGTCTTTCTCAAACAATCATTGATAATAGGTTGGATTTCCTCGCAATTAGATTTATTAAGGTATAAATTGACTTTTTCAATCAACACGTGAATATTTATTGACTTGTTGTCGAAATTTTTGAGTTTGTATTTCAATAGGAAATAATTGATTGGTATGCTTTCGGTGTTAAAAAAAATTTTCGATATTGGTAGGTTTGTATGTGCGGATCATTTCTCTGACTGCGTGAAAGAGTCAGACGTAGTGTGTATTTTTATTATTATTTATTTTTTTTTGCAACGAGTTCGATTTTTTTTCCACGGTTGATGAATGTGTAAAGACTGTAAAGTAGGAGAGGTAGATGATTTTTAAGATAACGTTTTTAATATTAGATGTTTTTTTTGTTGAATTAAAATTCAAAATTGGAGGATTATTTATTTTGAGAGTAAAAGGAAGTTACAAATCTACTACGTATTAGTGTTGTTTTCTATGAGTTCTATTTCGCTAGTTTCTTCTAAATGTTCTATAGTACTACGAAATTGAGTTCTTTTTCAAAGAAAGGTGAGTGTAGTATAGTTTTATTAGTTATATAACCTGAAAAATATTGTTGTCCGATTAAGTTGGTTGTGACTTAAAGTTTATATTTTGTTCAATTACGAGTATGAGGGATTGGATTTTGCACAAATATATTATTGTAGCAATGGACTGAAATGTGATCCGTTCGTTTTCAAAGATAACGTGTAAGTATATCGTCCGTCATGAATATTCTGTAATCGGTGTTTTTGAAATAGATTAGTAGTGAACTTCGTAGTCTATATATGTCCACATTTCTTATGTGAGTTTGACTTTTAAAATGGATGTGTACCAAGTTATCAAATGTAAAGCCGGCTTCAAAAAACGTAATCAGAGAGATGATATTAATGCCAATATTATTGAGCATATTTAATAAGAGTTAATATAGGATAATAGTTATGATAATTATCCATTTAGTTAGGTTTACAAGTTTATGAATGCTGTTAATATGGTTGTTTAACGTTAATTGAAAGGTTATGAATTATGATTAATAATATCATTGACTATAGTTTTGTTAGCAAAGTACACATAGAAACGATTATTCGATATTTTTTAATCAAATTCAATACTTAAAGAACTTGTTAATTTTCTAAATATTTTCATGTATTTTATTCAGAGAATCCCGTCTACTGTGTTAATGTGTTATATATAATTTTTACGCATATGTCACGCCAATCCCCCCCCCCCCATTTACAAAATATGGAAATTTTATTATTCTATCATTTAGTACGTCATTTGTACGTATTTGTACGCAGTGGCTCAGAATTTGTATGACCAAAGAGGCTGAGTTGATCTTTTGGTTGATGGCAGAGAGTGGCATAGTGGATACAGATAACTTACGTGTACTTTTTGAAACGGTTGTCGAAAGTTTTGGTTGTTGAGAGGCTTTTGATGTGTTTTGTGAGTGTTTATTCTTAATTGGTTTAAGGTTGCCGGAGACTACGATGAGATTAGAAATTGCCTAAATATTACTCCTTAAATAAAAACTAGAGCGAGGCCCACCCTCATGTGTTATCTCCGTCTTGCATACATATAACATGGCAAATTTTCGTTTAACAGAATCCATTTTATGTTAGTTTTATTTAATATCAAAGTAAATTTATCTGTTTAGCATTATTATGTTATATTTTACATACCTATAATTCACTTTAAAATCAAAATATTAATAAAAACCAATGTAATAACCTATAATATGTTTACCCTTTAAGTTTAATAATAGGTAAATTTACTCTATATAGAAGCTAACAACAAACATATTGAATGGATTCTGCTGAAAGCAAATTTATTATAATATATGTATGTAAAATGGAGACATCATATACAGATATGGTATTCTCTAACTACTTAAATAAAAAAAAACCTTTATCAACTCAAACTTTTGTAAGTACCAAGAATGAAAGTTGACTAGCGTGGTACACATTCATGATTCACTACGATCTATGAAAACGCTCCTTTAGGGTGAAATTAATAAAACGAAAAAATGTGCAGTTCTTGTTTACTTATAGAAGTGATTATGAATATTTTATAATAACGTAATCTATGCTATAACTTAAACCTAAACCGATTACCGTATCATCGGATCATTCAGATCACTTCCTTAGACATTGATGATTTAATCTAAGATAACTAAGGTCTAAGATCGCTTCACCTTTGACTTGAGCTCCTATCATTTAGTTTGTTATCTAATAACCTTAGGGTAACCATACTATACCGTGTTCTATACTCTGTAGTGATGTTATTTAGAATCTAGAATTTATTTTGAAATAGTCAATAGATAGTACTATCTATAAACAATTTGATTTCGTTGAAAATAAGTTATTTAAGTCTGTTGTTAATAAATAATTATTATTACAGGTTTTCATTATTTATTATTTAATAATATTCATAAGTTATATATTTAATTGTTAGTGAGACTTATAACAATACATAAATATACATTATTTACAGTAAGTTTATTTAATGAATGTCTATTAAATAATAGGATAGTATACCTATAGTGGTTAGCAAACTACTGGCTAGCTGTTAGAACCTACAGTTTACTATAAATTTACAAGTGATTGTGTATTTAAATGGTTGAAACATTTAAATATTTGGATCTTTTCCGTGTATTCACTACCACTACTTTTTAAGAATTTTCCATTATTTCACTATCGTTAATCCACACACATATTATGTAGATTCTGGTTTTATAGACAATATTTATCTAGGATTTAATTAAATATGTATTTCTGAGTTTATTTTATAAACATATATATATTTAATGTATAGAAATTAATTTCATAATTTAATAACACTTTTGCAGTATTTGTAATATCTAGTAGGTAACTAACAACAATAATTTAAAAATGTCAAGTTTCTTACATTTTAATTTTTTCAGAAAGACAAATTATGGAAGTTGAAACTTTATGTTCTAAATTGAAAGGTAAACGTCCACCTGTTCAAATAATTGAACATAAATCAAGAAAACGAACAAGTTCAATTCCAAAAATCAATTATTCAAAGTCTAACAATTTGGATTCAAAAACTGATGAAAAAATTAATTTAAGGAAATTACAAAATGAAATACTTAAATTTACAACTCATTTTGATGCAAAAAGTTCTAAAGCAAAAGAGCAGCTTGCTATTAAATTAGGAGCAAAACCTAGAAAAAAGGAAAATTTAAATTATAAACAATTAAAAGAAAAATTAAAGCAAGAAAATGAAGCGAAAAAAAATCAAGAACTTTTTCAATTACCAAAAACTATGGTAAGGACATCAAAAACTCATAAAAGATTAAATATTAAAAAAAATAAGTTACAATCTACTGATATAATTAAAAATTATGGAACACTAAAAAATAAAAAATTTTAATTTGAACTTTTGCATATAATTAAATAAATATTATTGTATGTTATCACGAATATTTATTTATCTTTTTTTAAATTTTGTTGTATATCCACCTTTCAGTAGTATACCACTATCAACTCTTGAGTCACCAAAAAATCATAAATTAACCGGTTATAGTTAGGTTCTTAAAAGTTGATATCGCTACATTACTATTTTGACTTTCAATCCTCAATGACTATAAATTAAACAATATTTAGAATTTGTTATTTCATAAAGAATTATTAAATATAAATAAGTATATAATTATATATATTTATTAGTATATTAATTATAATTCTATATATTTTAATGAATGAAAAAAAAAAATTGAAGGTCTAGTATTATCAAATATTAAAGAATTAATTAGTATACTGATAAATCAGGAATTTTTTTCATATAATCCACTTAATTAATTTTTTATGACAAATACAAGTTCAGATTAAGATTTAAAGGTATAAACAGTGTAGATTATAGTCAACAAAACCATGATTGACACAGATTTAAGGTTATTATGCGTCTGTATAATATTTTTAAATATCAAATACAAATTATTTCTAAGTTTTTTTTTTTTTATTGACTATAGGAGTTTATGGTACAGGTAGATTAGATTGTATTCATTCCTAAAATCATGTAACTGTTATTGTTTGTTACATAATTAATTTAAATTGTTCAAATAAATTGGACTATAGTATGGTAGACAATACAATTTTTGAATTTTGTTGTACACATAAAAATCCCATGTTGTTTTATTTATTTTACTTTTTGCTCATCGTGTTCAAGAAAATATTATTTTATCATTTATTCATGTTGAATAATGGCATGTTTTTGTTTGTAGATTGAAAAATGTAAGGAGTTTATGTAATAAATATTATTTTATTAACATAAATAAAATACTAAACAATATTTTCACAAAAGACTAGTTAAATAGGCAAATCATGTAATAGAAGAATTTTTAATATATAAATACCAAAAAATAATTATTTTTACTAAAAAATATTATGTGCAGCTTAGCACTTAAATTCATATTAACTGAATTATAAAATATTCTATTTAAGTATCACATAATATTGTATTATTTATTGAATTGTTAAATATTCAGAGGTAACATTTGAAATATTAAATCTACACGAATGTATTTTGTTATTAACTATTAATCAAAGATATCAAACTATCCATTAGATTGCTAATAAATTCATGTTGACTATCATTTTCTGGTAATAAAGTTATTACAGTTTGTACTAATTCTAAAGTTTCTTTTAATAATGATTTTTCAACATCTATTGTTACCTGAAATCAATAATTAGCATTTAATTTAAATTTAAACATTTAGTATTTCATATTGTGAAACTTACTGGACTTTTAAGCCAAGAAACAATTTCTGGGCTAAAGTGTACAATTTTATCATGAAAGTCTAAATCGCTAATGCATATTTCAAATTTCAATCTATGTTTAATTACATTCATTAAATGTTTTATGAGGTTTTCTTTATTGTGAACAACTGGTATAATCTATAAAATAAATTAAATATTATAGATATGTTTTGAACTAAAATAAAAAATAAAATCAATCTTTTACTTCTTCAGCCAAACGATCGTGTCCTTTACTATACAGCGAAACAACTTGACATATTCTAAGATCATCTAAATTTAGTTGCCAATCTAAAGCTAATTGAAATATTTTACTTATCCAAAACATACATTCTTTACTTTCAAATTCATATTGACCATCCTAAAACAGTTTCATTATTTATAATTAAAATTGAATCAAAAAAATTCATTAATGGGATATTATTTTTGTATTGTTTAAGTTGCACAACATATTTGATATTAACTTTAAAAATAAGTTATTGATAGCAACTTAATGATAACTTTAATTATTTATAATGATTACTTAACATTTTAGAAAATATTTTGCTTATATTGACTACAACTTTCAATTATTTGTATAGTTAACAGTTAACCACGTAAAGATTAACACATATATACCTCACAATCTTTTTGTATAAGGCAAACTGCTGAATTAATAGAATTAATTAAAAAATTAGTTTTCGATTTTTTAACTTTAGTTCTTGGCATTTCTTGATTAAAAGTGTTTTGGTTCAAATTAGAAATATCAATTTCATGTACCTATAAAAGATAGTTTTATTATATAGAAAAAAAATATTTGTTTAATAATAACTTACATGACAGTCAAATAGACTATTTAGTGGTTTATTTATATGTAATGAAAATTTAGCCAATATATGAAATGTTCTAACAAATTGATGAGTCAAAAAAAGAATTTCTTGATCAGGATTAGGTTTATTTAAAGCTATTTGAACAAGAGTAAGCTTATGTTGGTTACTGTTTTTCCAATTTTCCCAAAAAAAATCATGTTTTATTTCAGCAAGTTCAACTTCTTCAGCTGATAAAGATGCCTGAAATATCATAAATTGATTACCATCAAGGGAAATATAATATTAATCATTTATATTATTATTATTATGTCAACCTTAATAATGATGTCAAAAAAACGATCACATAAATCAAAAAATTTGACTATATATTGATCTGGCATCCCAACATCTTTAATACATAACTTATCTTTAGGAACTTTTCCAACACGATCAATAAGCCTTACAGCTGATAAAAAAACAGGAGATATATGTGTAGACCACACCAAATAACACATGTCTAAAAGTTTAATTAAAATACACTAGTTTTAATACTAATCACAATTTTATATCATAAAATATTATACTTGCTTTCTCTTGTATGCAAACATGGTATAGTATTAGCAACATCTAAAGCTGTCTTAAGTGGTCTAAGATCAGCAACACAATTTTTCCAAGCAGATGCATATTCCCAAAAAATATTACTTAATAATGTATTCCCATTCAAACTGTGTGGAAAACAGGTTTTCAGACGTTTTAATGTATCTAATACTTCTTTTTCTGCCATATTTAATGCTTTGACTTCAACTGCTGTATCTATATTTATAACAAGTCCTTCTTGAATACCTATAATTCCTTTATTTTGATTTAATGGTTTAGTTTTTTTTTTATCGAAGTCTATTAAATACTCATCAATCACTAAAGTAGGATCTAAGCCTATACTAGCTAACCATTTACTAACAAGTGTAGACACTCCACCTAAAAAATAATTATTATGTAAGATAATATTGTAATTGTAACTATTAAAATATATTGTTACTGATAAATGTAATTAGTAATTAGTGATAATACCACGTCCAAGTTGAAGTAACTCTGTTAGTGTAATGGACGAGAACTCATATTTTAAACAGTGAAGTGTTCCAACTGGTTCTTTTGAACAATATTTTAATGTTGCATTGAGATGGCATAATTGTTCAAGTCTTTCAATTAATAAATTCCATTGATAGTCATCATCAGAAATACATTCCCATTCATTGTTAACATTAACTACAAATATAAATTTTACAAATAACAAAAGTATTAAAAGCAACCCCTTTGATTCTCACTCATATAATCATACTAATGTACATTAATACAATGACCAACCTGTTTTTCTACAAGATGCAATAGTTTTACATATTATAGCTCCAGTTAAACAAGCAAATGTATTTGAACTATTTGAAAACTGATCTTGGATTGCATTCCAATCAAATTTTATTCCTGAAAAACAAAAATAAATATTTTATAATTAATAAATTCCATAGTGATTTATAACGTAAACTCATACCATTTGAATTACAAATTGTGTCAATTGCTCTGTGAAAATTTAACATTTCTGTTACAATTGTTAAGGTGAGTGGTTTTGATAGCCAATATTTAACAGCTAAATATACCATATCTGGTAATTGAATACCACTAGCTATCCATGCAGAATTCCATTCTCCAATATCATTATCAAACTGCATAATAGGTTCAAATATATGTTTACCTAAAAAATATATTTTTTTTTAATATACAATTTTTACAAATACATATAAATAATAGGTAAATATTACATAATTCATCGAGATTTTTATCAATTTTTATAGAGATATTTTCACCAGTCATATTAAAATAAGACAGTAATTCAATTAAATTCAATGATTTAACATCATCATAAAACATCACTACAGTTTTTTTTTTTGGTTCTATAGGAAGTAATGAAATAATTTTATCCATATCTTGATCGTTTAAACGAAGTGTTTTAGATAATTCCTTTAAAAAAAGTAAACATGAATAAATGTTATAAATCCAATATAGCATTATACTTATATACTTGTATTTTATCTTCAGCTGATAAAGATGATGCCTGAAAACGATGACACTTCCCTTGATAATTGGATAAAAACGTTAAAAACGTTATGAGTTTCAAATGATTATCAGTATTTTTCAATAAATTTTCATTAAAATTTTGAGATTCACTTTGATCTAAAATTAAATTAAAATTACTATAAATTGAAGTATTTTAATTGTTTATCAAAATTTTACTTTTTTCTTTTAAATTTGTTTGTAAGCTTTTCAAAAATGTAACCAAGGCATTTTGTGTTATACTTTTACTAGTTGTAATATAATCAAATGCTTGTTGTCTTACTTTATCAGTCATTAAATTATTAACTAATTTTACAACTTCTTCGCAGAGTATTTCGTTATCAACATTTTCACTTTTACATAATAATTTGAATGTTTTAAATGTATACATATCTTGAGACAGTTGACTATTAGAATGACTAAAATTATTTATAAAAATTTAAAAATATAAATTAAATAATATTATGTGATGAATATGTCAAATATTTTAGTAAACAATATACCTTTCTATACAGTGAAAAGGTACATTTATTTCTGTAATATTTTCTGTTTCATCTATAAAATAACAGCGATAATTAGCATTATATATGTTCATTCTTGATGTACTTAGAGCTCCAAATAAACCAAAGTTTGTGTAAAATAGCCTAAAATATTAATAATAATCAATAAGTTATTAAATAACCAATGATCCAAAAATTTGTAATAGAACATACCTTCCAGTTTTAGAAACTTTAGACATTGATATTTTTTCATAATTGTGCATTGACCATACTTCTAATACTTCTCTATTAGGTATAAACATTACTAAAAATAATGCTTGTTTAGAACTAGAACTTTTATTTTCATTGACAACAAGCCATCCAAATTGAACGTCTTTATATCCGTCCCATGTTCTAAATATTCAAAATAATTATTGTTAACAAATAAATTAACCACAAACTTAAATTACCGTATTATTCCTCCAGCATTGACCTCGAAAAGTGTTACTTTCCCTAAATTATCAGAGATTACTCCTATGGATAATTGGGGACTTAATTCAATTTTTAAAGCTTCACATTCCATTTCATTGAGGCTAAAACTAATTATAAATTTGATATTTTACTATGTTTATTATGAATATTGTACAAAATAATTTGTATTATATTTTAATTAAATTATTACCGACATCCAAGCTGTTCAGGTTGTTCTAGTGTATCAGGAGTTTCATTTAATGATAAATTATATGATAACCAACAACTAAAATTATAAACATATAGTTAATCAATTTATTTTAAACTTGTTATGAAACAATTAAATGCTTACGGTAATGTTTGAATAAAAGAAGATTTCAATTTATTTGCAACTGCTTTAGTTATATTTCCAAAAGTAGGTTGAGCCTGTCCTCCAATTGTATAATGAATTGCTAAGTATGGTTCATGGCCAGCAGTTATAATTTGAGTCATTTGTGGTATACAATTTTGTTTTTCACCACTAATACCTTTGCAAATATTAGCTGCTACTATATGTTGAAAACTAGTAATATCATATTTTGGCCCAATAGCAGCATCATTTATCTTTTTTTGAACATCAAAAGCCCACTTTTTATATGTTAATGGAGAGATACTTATATCACCCAAACATTTTGCTTGAACTAAAATATTAATAATACCAATTAACATATATGTATAATTTGATTAAAATAATATACCTTTTCTATTAGTTTTAATTATTTCAACTAAGCGAGTTGTAGGTATACACATATTTTACTTATTAGTGGCGAATATAATTATAGAAAGCTAATATTTTCGATTTAATTGAAATAAGAATAAAAGAAAAAGAATAATTATTACTACTTATTACTATACTTACTTTTAGCTAATTGATTTTTACAAGACCTTAAACTATTAATGAATATTGTGCCATCAACTGTACACATAACTTTACTATATAAAATTGCAATTTCTTCAGGTTGTTCTACAGTTGGAGGATTAATTTTTGCAGGCTGATGACTTTGACACCTTAATTTCAAAACAGCACTATTATGGAATAATTTTGATAGTAAGAGGTCTCCATCCTTATAAATAAAATGGATAATTTATTATTTGACAACAATTAATTAAAAATAAAAATTAATTGAGAATAACTTCAGTGTAAAATTTGACAAAACCACTTGAAAATCCTATGGCAATGCAAAACCAATCAGGACTACAATGAGTAGACAGTTTTGTATCAATTGCTGCAATCGGTAGACATAACATTGATGTGATTTGTTCACTGAAATAATATACAATTTATTGTTAAATTAAAAAAAAAGGATAATAATGATTAATTTTTTTTAAAACAATAATATTAAGTGTTTTGTAAACATAAATATAACATACTTGTTTGTTTGGGCAATGTCATTATTACAAAATGTTTGAAAAGTTTGGCTTATAATATTATCATTAGTAGAACTGGAAAACCACTTCGCTATAAAATAAAAAACAATATAAAATATTTAATTTTATAAACAAAATAAATATACTAACGCGTAAAGGTAATTATTTTATTGTCATATCCAAATACTATGATTTCACCTCCAGGAGATATGCAACTTACAGAGTCATTTAAAACATCTACAAAAAAAAAAAAAAATTAATTTAATAATTTTATTATGGAAATAATTATTTTTTTGTTTATCAATTACCCTTTGTATTATTAGATCCAAATAAATAAGCTTTAATTTTTGATAGATCAATAGCTTTGGCAAATACTTTAAGTTGAACCGACATGTTGAAATCTTAATGATGAAACGGTTAGACACTTAAGTTTGCATAATTAAGTATAATAATATAGACGTCATATTCTTTATGTTGAAATGGTATACATTAATACATTTTAAAAACAAGTAATATTATTAAAACAAGTAAAACTAAACTTCTCAATTATACAATATTAATATTTATTATTTTCATTTTTCATTGTATATAATAATTGTTGTTTGTTTTGGTTTGATATCTAAAATCTACACTTTATTTTACCACAATGATAATATCGCAGAGTGGGTTAAACTGTTGCGTGATAATAGTACTACGCAGTACGGCCAATGTCAAATACGTACTAATTTACTATGCAGTCAGTTAAGTTGCAGAATCAGTGGTGTATTTATGGGGGGGGGTGAATGTAGGCAATCGCCCCGAGCGCCAAATTGTAAGTCTCTTAAAGAGGGCTCTACGCTAGAAAAGTATTATTAAGTAAAAATAAGATATTATTGGGCTAAGCGTTTTTTATCTGATGACCTTTTTTTTTTAAGTAAACCACCGATGTGTAAAAATTGATCAGCCTCCCCCTCACGACAATTTTTTTTTTTAGAGAAAAAAAGGGCGCTAAAATCGTAAATACGCCTCTATGTAGACTATAAAATAGAGTGCACTCATTGCAGTACGCACAATGTAGTTGAGTTGCGTTGATATTTAATATTCAATTCACCTTGACTTTGCCCAAAATTATTTGTTTTATTCTATTGACAACTGACCTGTGTTCAATATATTACGTTTTTTATAAATATTGTTCTGTGATTCTGTAGTACTGTAGCACGAATAGAGATAATAATATTAATGATAATATAAATATTTAGTAAACATATTTAGTACCTATGTATTATTATTTTTTTTTTTTTTGAAATACACGAAAACAAAAAAGTTGTTTGAGGTGAAATAATTATTTTACGGGTGAATACAGATGTTGTATACATTTGAATTTGAAATTCTTATTAAAATTAATTGGGCTATTCGGTAGAATTTTTTTATATGTATATAAATAGTAGGTATAACTTATAAAGAACCTAATATTAAATTTTAAAATTTTAGGTATAAAAACTAAAATTTATTTTGAATTTTTATCATGAAATAATTTGTTAATATTTTTTTGAATTTTTATGACAAAATAATTTTGTCGAAATTCTAACTTTAAAGGCTTTAAAAAAAATATTGTTAATATAAATTTTCGATATTTTTAATAGAGAAATTAACAATGTATAAGAAGCTTTATATTAAATTTCCTAACAAATAATTTATTTTATCGACATTTATAAAAAATAACCAGTTTGACTTCTTAAAGTACAAACTAGATCCAATTTAATATCTGAAATCACCTTTTTTTCAAAATCTAAGCATTTTATTAACAATTTATTGCATATTCTTCCACAAAAAAAAAAAAAAAAATATAAAATTAAAGACGTTATCATAGCTAATAAAATCAATACATTCATCGCTCCGATCAGGATCTAAAAAAAAAGTAAGACTTTAGCTTTAAAGCTCTAAAATCATTATACCTATCAATCACATTTTGCATGAATAATTAGTAAGTATAATAGTATATTAAGTGTTATTAATTTTTTGAACCATGAACCTAAATTGACATATTGTTATTAAGTAGCATATATTTTATAGTAAACGAAATTACTAATTAGGGAACACAATCTTTTCAATAATTAGGAACTTAGTTATTATATTCAATAAAATTATGTTTCTTAACATAATATAGGCATAGGCGTGCGCACGGGTATGGCTGATTGGGCTTTAGCCCCACCTAAGCTTTTTTTTTTTATACGTGGATGGGTTGGTACTTGGTACCTAAGAAAGTAATTAGGCATTATAGCCGTAGAAAATTGAATTGATAATAAAATAAATCAAAATCATAGATATTTGCCCATAGGCATGATACATTTTTTTTCTTGATTGACCGTGACGGGGAGGGGGGGGAGTCAGATTGAATTTAGCCATACCCGACTCAGAAGTCTGCGCATGCCTATGAATATAGGTAAAAGTTAATAGGGTTCGAAACTTAATGTACTTAAAAAGTACTAAATGTGTATGCACGTATACGCTTATAATAGAACAAATATGTTTTAAAAATTGCACTTATTTTTTTTTCTTCTCATAATTTTCATAAATATAAATATTTTTATATTTTATTATTTTGTACTAAATATTTATTTATAAAAACGGGAAAACACAATACAATAAGTAATATCTAGTGAAAACCCTCAAAATAAGTGTACATTATAAAGTATTCTTTTCTTTTTTTTTTTTATTGTCAAATTTTGAAATTGTATTATAAACATATCATTAATTATCAAATATGCTTTAAAAAATAGTAAAATTCAAAAATATGCTATTAAAATTACAAAACCACTAAAAATGCAAAAATATGCATTATAAACTTTTAATATATTGTATGTAGTGTCGTGAAATTAGTTTAAAACTTACTTAGCAATAAATCTAATATAGCCCCCCAAAAAACATGCAAATGCATTTACTTCCGTGTTCTAGTTATGACATATACATTTTTTCGATTTTACAATTATTACAAAAGCAATTTATAAAATATAAAGTTACTAAATAGGTACTAAACTATAAAATAAAATAAAAGTCTTAACCAAAAAACCCAATTAATTAAAATTATTACTGAAAACATCTTAGTACCTTTATTAATAAAATAAAATAATTGTATTTTAAAGATATAAGTTATATACTTATAATACGCGAAAATAGTAATTATAAAACCTGTAAGACCGCAACTTTCAAAAAATAAAATATATTAATAGATAGAATTTTGAATATATTGTGGGTGGATAGATATTAGCTGTTTTGCACATCTTATTATAGCTATATTACCGACTTATGTATTATTATAAATTGATTTATAATCAATGGTATTACTAAACGTGTTGGTAATCAAAATTATCAAGTACCTATTAGAAATAAAAATTATAGATTTGCTACTGACAAGTTAATATACTTGTTACTTATATAGTGATGTAAAATATTGTAAATTGTAATCAATATTCATATTTTATTTGTTTTTCTTAAAAAAATTGATATTTTTAATTTTTAAAATATATTTTATCATTATTGTTATTAAGAATATATTAACAGCAGCCATGCCAATAATTAAAAAAAAAATGTCTCCTAGGAAATATTGATTATAGTTTAATACAACACTACTACTCCTAAGGTGATTAGCCCCCCCATGACGGAGAACATATTCAATCCAATAAATTGCCCGATCCATTGGTTTTGGATGGGTATCTTTAAATATTTCACTTCGTAACTTCGAGTTTTCTTTGTATCTAAAATTCATCATGAATTATCATTAGCTAAATAATGTATTATTTTGTAGGGTATATACTTACTTATGAAATTATACGTATTTAAATTATATTTACTTTGGGTTTGTAAGAACTTCATTTATGGCAGATAGCATGGATTCTTCATTCAAATCAATATGGTCCACCATTTTTCCGATCCCATTGCGTTCAGCTAATCTCATGTTCATGTGTTGGTCGCCAAAGAAAGGAATGCCAACAATTGGTAACGCATTATAGGTAGCTTCTTCGAGACTGTGTACACCTCCGTGTGTGATGAATAGACGAACATTAGGGTGACCTATTCAATAAATATTAAAAGTATGTTAAAATTAATAGGTATCAATGAAAATTTTAGGTTGATAATAGATACCCAAAATATCGGATTGTGGGAACCAATTGCTAATCATAATGTGACTGGGTAATTGTGGCAAATTCTTTGAATCCCACTTCCACATTACTTTTTGTTTCACCTTCTTTAAAACGTTAATGAAAATTTCTATAGTTGAATTTGGTAACGTGGATGGATCCACAATAGTACCAAAACTAAAATATATAACTCCGTACTCAGCAGATTCAACAAACTCCAAAAATTTCTATAAAAAATTAATTTTTAACTATAGGTAGTACTTTGATAAAAACGAATGTGATAATAGTTAAATTTCCGTACTCCAGTTAATGGTTTTGGATTGTTCACATGAAGTCCTGCAATTTCAATTGTACTAGGCAAGTAAGGTCTTGTCACACCAATACTGTAATGCGAATTGATTAATGTCACCGACACGTTTCTCAACATATCTTCAATAGGAGGTCTAGATTCATAGCCTTTATATTTAAAATATTTATTCATGGTTTCTTTTTGTAAAGGTAAATAATAATAATCTTCTAAAAATAATTGATAAATTCCAATAATAGTGTTTTTGAACCGTTCGATGAAAGTCATTTGATCTGTTGCTCTAGTTCGTTGATCAAGTATGTATGAAAATGTAGATGGCTCACCAATCCATTTACTATTGGATGGCCACAACATCGAAACACCTAAATTAATAACTGGTGCTTTGTACTTATGGCCTAGTGTAACAGTGTATTCTTGGCAAAATGGGAAAACCATAACTAGATTGAATTCGTAATCTTGAGATAGAATGAAATTTTGCATTTCTGGTTTGGAAACCATTTTTTGGCCTAAATTTGTAGACATATACCACATACTAGGTACTACTGTTAAAAAACCATGACTAGCCAACTCCATTGGATTAATACCTATGCCAAAAAATAATCATAATACCTATATTAAAATTATTTTAGAATATACATACATTTTATACTTTTATATTATTTGTTAATTGAAATAATTAATGACCTACTTTTTAAAATACTCTTATCTACTGAAATTGGGATGTCTGTGTAATTTTGCAATGGTGTTTTCAGTGGAAACGTGCTAACTACTGTAAGATTATGTCCTCTATTAGCAAGTTCTTTGAATAATGGTTGAAATCCTCTAAAGTGACTTTTAAACGGCATTGGTGCAAAAACAAGTATGTTGGCACTTTGTGTAGCAGTGATTAAGAAAAGAAGTTTAAAAATCCATTTTATAAAATTATAATTTTCCATCTTCACTGTGTGAATAATTCAGCCTTATTTATGTTGATCTGCTATTTGTTTCAACAATATTTACCTTTAATTAAACAGAATTAACATTATAGTTGTATTAAATGTAACAAATTGAAGATCAGATTTGTAATAATTATTATTTTATAATTTTAATACTAAACAAAGAATACGGGTTATAAAAATAATTTAAAACTCATATTTTATGTTTTAATAATTTAAGAATAAATTAAAGAACTGTACAAAATTATATATTATTATTTTAATATGCATTACGTGAACGGTAAGTGACATAAAAAAAATCTGACTGTGTTATTTCAAAACCAAGTGTAAAGTGTTGTTTAAACTGTAATTGAAGGATCTAATACAACAACCAGTCAACTCCATTTTTGAGCGAAATCGTTTTATTCATTGATAAGATAAAGAATAAAATTATTTACAAATGGGTACAACAAACGTACTTCTCCGTTAATTAATAAATTAAATATGAGTAAACATGGATTTGTCTGATAGTGAATTCAAATGCAATAAAAAGATAACTCAAAAAGATATTACTGTAATTTAACTTTTAGTTATGTGCAACTGAACAGTCTGAACAATTAGCTTAATTTATAAAATAAAGACATGAAATATTTGTATAATACTATCATACCGATTATCTACTGTTAAATTAATAAGAATACATTTTTTATTTAAAAATAGATAAGATAGTTTTAATTAGTATAGTAATAGAGCATAATAATCATCCAATTCTTAGTTGTTATTTTGGTTCTTATCGCTTAATTAATTTATATACTAAAAAATTAAAATTACGCATAATATTTAATAATAATCTTGAAGTATTTACATGTGAAATATAATTTATATATAGAGGATTCTCAATTATGAATAATCAGTAAGTTAGATACGTATCTGTTTAAAAAAATCAAACTGTCCCGTACGAGTAAAAATTATATATAACGTAGGTATTACATCTTACTTCCATGTCCATGTGAGTTGAATTGTTAATACTTCCTATACGAAAACTCAAGGTTCAACATAATTTAACAATAACTATTTAGTAAAAATTAGTAGGTAGTGGGAACTAGTAGGTACAAAGAATAAATAGTAATATAATATGTTGATAACAGAAAATGAGGCAGAGTGGTCTGGCTATAAAACAATATTAACATATTACATAATATATTGTCAATGGGAAATCTTCAAAATCTTTAAATTCGTTAAAGATGTAATTTCTATGCACACATTTTGAGACGTGCGACTGGCACTAAATTCACACTCTAGGACTATAATTTTGACTTTAGAATGATTTAATAGACATGCACCATGCAGTTGTATCAAGTTTTCTGTTTGTTAATTTAAATGTGTTTTCAGATATTACCCTTTTGGTATTAATACTACGTATATAATCAAAAATCAAAAATTAATTTTAAAATTACCTTTTTACAAGAAATTTATGAAGCCATCATAAAATATGTACTGTCAAATGTCAAATAATAAAAATGACGTGCATGAAATATTCTTAACCAAGAAAGTGGAGTAGCATGAATAATCGCGTGGCTCGTGTGTTTTGACTATCTTTGAATCAGTTATCGCCGCACGACTAGATAATTTACATTAATAATACATTACAAAAACTATTGAGTTGTACTGCCGTTCGCAACACTTGCAACTTGTATTGTACTGAATTTGAATATCATTGAGTAGAAATGCTTCGAGTGTCAATTTTTACTTTTTTAAAAAAACTAATTGAAAATAAGAGAAATGTATAGTTATCTATTATAAATAAATTTTTATTTTATCTCCTAGTTAAACTTTTTTCTAGTAATAGCTTATCTTTTTTACAAATTCAAACATATAAAAATTTACATTTAAATTTTTAGATATATATTCTTAAACTACTTAATATGTTTTTTATTTTTTATACTTATGACTTATGAATTATGATTATTTATCTTATTTTCTTTTTCAACGCTATTTATTTTGATATCATATGATTGAATTTGAATAATTTTTAAAAATTCATTAAAAAAACAAAATATTTGGTTGGAGCAAGTAAAAATATTTTCCAAATGATCTGTGAAACGACTTACAGGCGTTTGTTTTCTTTTACCTGAAATTTCACGTGATGCTGAAAGATATGGCGAGACTGTTTTATCTTCATTAATATAATACGTATCAATAAGATAATCATAAAATATATTAATTCCTTCGTTTGTTAGTTTAATACTCATAAAACTGCAACACCGAAACAATAACCGAAATTTCCAGGTTCAAATAGTGATAGGCTAGCTAAATATCCACTTTAATTATTATCCAATGTCACTTGAATGATTTTTATAGGTACTTCATAGTTAAGTTTGATACATATTTATAATATACAAAACTTTTTAATTTTAAATTATACATATATTATATATATAAGTAAATAATTCTTTAATTTTACTTATTTTATAAATACATTTTCAGTATATGCCAATAATTGTGTATTTGGTTTTTTTGTAGGTACTCAGGTACTCTACATAGCGGTCATCTGGAAGTATTGCACTTCTATGAATGATTAGCTCTAATATAGGACAGCTGTGGCTACCTCTAAACAGCGATCATCATTTCCTGTTCCTTCGGTGACCGTTACATAGAAGTTTTACTGTGATAATAAATTGTATAGAATTTGCTTCATTCAATAATTTGTTACCTATTGCAATTTATAGTTGTTATTTCTAATATATTGCCGTATAAACATTTCAAATACAGCTTAAACTTATTGTAGTGATATAAAATATTAATACAATTTTATAAGATACCTTTTCTATTGGAGGATTATAATTATTAGTTTGGTTCTTCTTATTTTTAATACAATTTAATATTTTAAATAAATTTAAATTAAATGTTTAATTTAAGTGATAAAGGTTTAAAATAATTATATACAGTATAATATTTTAATAAAGTTTTTATGTTATTTTCACAATAAATAAATAACATGACCAAACTATACATACAACTGGTATTAGTAAAAAAAATACTATGTCAAATAAAAAATACTGCACATCATTTAACTCCACAGAGTAACTTTTTAGATGTCCAGCTCCTCGGTTTCGAATAACATACTCAATCCAGTAGATAGCTCGATCTAAAGGTTTCATGGGTTGATCTCTATATATCTGACTCTGAATTTCTACATTCTTTTTAAACCTAATTAAAAAAGATTTAAAAAAACTTAACGCCACAGTGTGGTATAATACAATCAATTATATCAGTGCTTACATTGGATTAGACAACACTTCTTTGATGGAATTTCCGAATGATTCATTAGTCATTTTGAAAAAATCTACTAGTTTACCATAGCCTTTTCTCTCTACAAATTTCATGTTTAAAAACTGATCACCAAAAAATGGTACAGCAACTATAGGTTTTGCAAAATAAACGGTTTCTTCTAAACTATGTAGTCCTCCGTGAGTAATGAAAAGTTTGACATTTGGATGAGCTGTATAGATAGGTAATATATATAAATGTTAAAATAGATGGAAATAAAATCTTATAATTTTGTACAAAGTAGTATTTTCGGTATACATCTATTGACAAAAGCATGTTTGGAAAATAACTCTGGAAATTCAGCCATTTTAAAAGTCGCTGCTTACACAGTTTTAAGCAATAAATTAAAAGTATAAGTAAATCAAATAAAAAAAATGATTGATTGAATCATTAGCGTCAAATACATAGTAAGTATATAGATACTTAGGTTGCATTGTACTGATATATTTACCTAAAATATCACTTTGAGGAAACCACGAACCAGTCATAACGTTTTGAGATAATTTAACAGTAGAATTTGGGATCCATTTTAGTATTACTTTTTGTTTTAATTTTTCAATTGTTCCAAGAAAGATATTCAATTTTTCTTGAGGTAGGTGATTTAAGTTAATCAACGAACCAAAACTGAAATAAATTACTCCATGCTCTGCCGAATCCACAAAAGTTTGAAGATCCTAAAACAAAAAAAAGAATACAATAAATTCTGTATTCATTTTTAAACTTATTTTGTAAGAAGCTGATATATTTTATTTAATGGAATTATATAGTAGATATAGTTGAATAGTTTTAATTTATTAGTTAAGCTATAAAAAATTTAAAAAATAGTTTTAAAAAACATAAACGGCACGTAATACGAATATTCTCTTGTAATTCATCATAATATCATCTAAAAGACCCATGCTTTATAGTCCATTCTCAATAATATGAGTTTTGTGAGTAGTTATGTAGATATTGTTTATTTATAATATTTATTTTGAATTGAAATTGAATTTAATACAAATATTAAATTAATACAATTACAAACCAATTAAATTAACAGTATCGCAGTCGCTTATAAGGATCATAGAAATAAAAGTTTTTAGTATTTTATAAAAATGTGATTGAAATGAAAGTATTTGTTGAATTAATTAAAAATTATGTTCCAACGAGCTCTTTGAATCTGAATGCACTGTGATTTAATTCTGTTGAATTTATTAATTTCCCGTTAGTAGTAGCTCTTGGCCTTTGTAAAACCACGAGTGTATGTACTGGGATTTCAATCCATACCTGTGTTTATAGGTATGGTCTCGTCTATTGTACCAAAACGCGGTAGCGTTTGGCAATGCTTAGAAAAAATTCAACTTTGCACAGAGAAATACGGTGGCATTGGGGAAAACTTAGGATAACGCCATGTTGATCTGCAGAGACACCTATTGGTGCCAAGAAAAGTCCAACACCGTATGGAACGCCTATTAGTACGAAACGAAATCCAATGTCACACGGAAGCGTTTGGTGTCGATCCTCGGTGGTTGTTGTTGACGTCTACGATTGTCCTTACGACCTTACTGTCTACTGATAATTACTACTATGCCTTTTAATTCTGCTGGTACCTGCTTTCTTGATTGGTTATGATTTATAATCACCTAGTTTGCATAAGCAACTCAATATAACTAATATAAGTGCCGTTTTAGCTCATCTCAATAATTGACACTGTTAAGTGCATAACAAAATTACGATTTAATAATTATTTATTGTTATTACCGAATGCGCTGTATGGTTATGAAAAATCAATCAATTGGGTAATTTCAAAAGTCATCGGTTAGACCCGCGCTTCACAAAATACTTAAATCTGGTCACACAGCCGGCGCAAGGTCAGTAGATCAATTATTGTAGGCTTTCAGACGTCAAACGTGCCTGTGTAACGTTCATTCGTGACAATCGGCATACTGGAATGCATCACTGTCTGAAAAGCTCATGCACTATGTAACGAATATTGGGCGAAGGATCAAGATAGAATTTCATAGATAATTATGCTAGTATCTAACTATATTTAATTAAAAAATGGCATAATTATGCATGGCGAATTCACTCATAAAAAATATACTTCGAGTGGCGGGAAAAAATTAACATATATACCTAAATACCTAATTCAACAAAGATGGCTTGCGGTTTACTCCATAAAGTTGGAAGCGAAGGACAAAAACATGATTAAAATATATACGGTATATTTAATGCTTCCATAGTGCTTATATCTTAGTTTTAATAAATTAATTATACGTACGCCAGATAGAGGTTTGGATTCTTTGATGTGCATACCACCTACATCAATAACACCTGGAGTATATGGCCTGGATATACCGATTGCATAATGAGCGTTGACTAGTGTTAAGGACACATTATTCAACATGTCTTCAAGCGAAGGTCTAGATTGCCATCCTTTATATGTCAAGTGAGTATCCATTATTTCCTTCATTTTAGGTAAATACAAGTAATTTTCTACATACAATTGCATTATTCCAATAATGGTGTTTTTTAATCGTTGAGTGAAACTCATATTATCGCTTTCTGTTTCCAAAAAGATGTTCGGTATGTAAGAGAACGTGGAAGGGACGTGCAGCCATTTGCTAATACTGTTCCAGATCATGGCCGGCGCCAGATTAATAACGGGGGCGTTGAATTTATGGCCTAAGGCCACAGTATATTCTTGACAACACGATTCTATTAAAACTAAATCAAACGAGTCAGAGGTTGTTTGGAAGAAGTCCACCATTGATTTATGTGTCAAAACTTTGGACAATTTTAAGCCAAGGTCCCATACTGACAAAGCCGACATCACAAAGTTCTTGTTAATCATTTCCATTACATTTCTTTCTAAAACAAATTAGTTATAAATATCATTACTGTAATCGAAGGGTTCTGTGCAAGAACCAGACAAGTACAATTTCTTTCTATAAAATTGGTATTTGATTAAGAAAAAGATTGACAAATGCAGAGTACTTATCTATATCTGTCAAAAACGGGAAAATTTCAATAACAGAAACTGTCTGGTTTCATGTTTAAAGAAAGATCCATGTAATATCGTATATACATAAATTAAACAAAGTTTCAGAAAATTATAGTAAATAATATCATTTTTTTTTAATTAAAAAAAAGTAATTGTATACATTTCTGGTCAAAAAACAAGATACTTCAATAATTTTAAGATTACTATAATAGGACTGCATCTCGAATAAATTATAAAAATTATACTTTTTAGGGAGAAGAGCTGCATCGGTTATAATCAACATTTAATTATTTCATTATAATGTGTTACCGAAACCGAATTCATGCAATTTTATAAGAAAAAGTCTGCCTAAATCATGAAACCAACAATCAAAATTTGCCGATTCACGTTTTCGGCAACAGTGTTGTTGATTTTATGAAATCGGAAATTTTCTTCCGATTTCGTGTAATCAGCAATTTCATAAATTCGGAATAACATTTAGGTATATAAAATATTTAAATTTTCATAAATAATTCTATCATCATGTAATAACACAAATAAGAAAATTATTATTTAGTGCTTTTTAAATTGAAAACTAAAAAATAAAAATTTAATTTTAATTCAAGACGTGTTAAGTACCTACTACAATAATTTATAGGTACCTAATTAGAATTCACATATGTTATTTAACGGTTAACGAACCAAGTTCTTTAATATAAAATGGTCCAATATCTGTGTAGTTGGCAATCTGACGATTTTGAGGGTAGGAACTGACAACGGTTACGTTGTGTCCTCTGTGAGCTAACTCTTCGAACAACGGTTGAAATCCACGAATATGGCTTTTAAACGGCATTGGCATAAACACTAAAATATTCGACGCACTGGTGACGACGATTACAGCAAATGAAATTGTACTAAGAAATAATATGCTTGGCAACATTTTGTGTGTAAAAGTTCAAAAACGTACTATTAAATAAATCAAACAATATTATTATAGCAGGTACGATTAATGGAATTAAAATATGAAATTTTTTTTACTGGTATAGGCCACATGACGAACAAAGCATTCATTATCTGCGTTATAATATAAAATATAACATAAGTACCTACTTATATGTCCAACATATGTATTATGTTTAAATGATACCCTTCAGAGATAATAAATTTATGTTTTATAAGTATGATATCTGTTATGATTCAATATAAATATGAGTACAAGAATATTACGGAGTGGTTAATAATTATATTACATTAATTTTGATTAACCTATATAGGTCGATAACCTATGTACCGTGACTTATAATAGATATAGTCAGTCAGGTATATATGTTATCTTCATATTATAGCATTATATTATCGCTGTAGGATTCACTAAAACAAACGCTAAGGATGTTTTTTTTTTTTTGTATACCTATACCATTGATTATAGAATAGACTATTCTATAATCAATGCCTATACACTATATAGTATATACACGATAACAGATTGAAAAATGTTTCGATTTTCATTTACAAAGTTGAACCTAGTTTTTAATTTTAAGTGGTTAAAATTAAAAAATCTCAATATATTTTTAAGTATTTAATCATGAACAAAAAATAAAAATTTGGAATTTTTTTGGTTTAGTTTTTGTTTTTGATTTAACTTCATCATGCCAAATAACTTATTTTTACTGATATGTACAAATGATTAAAATTCAAAAGCGCAATACGTTATAAGCATTTGTAGTTCAAATTTTGATAAAATTCCTCAAAATAACAAAATTTTGCAAATTATTTTTGAAATTAAAAATTTATAACTTTTATAGTTATAGTTTGAATATTTAATATACATTTTAATTATAAACAGTTCATACTGAAACTAATAATCTAAATAATTTCGAAATTACATTATTCCAACTATGAATAATGATATTTATTATTCAATTTATTTTATACACACGATATTTTAAAGTATAATGCTTTCGTAAAAATTATTTCAACTTATATTACAATCCGCTTGATGCCTAGAATCGTTATGTAGGTACCAATGTACCATTGAATTAGAATTCAACACATTTATTAGTGATATACTCGAAAAATACTGTTAGCAGTACAGAGAATTCCTTGGTTTATCTTTTTTTCCTTAAATTTTTCTGACTAGGAATTTATTTAAGTTCTTAAGTGTACTCAAAGTCTCTAAGTATTTAATGAGTTTTTTTTTATGGATGTTGATTGATTAATATTAATCACACTTTTTTCAAATTATCATAAACTTGATCCTAGTTCACAAAGTTAAATAAAATAACTTTAAGACTAGATACCTATTCATTAGAACTTATATAATACGTTTATATTTTTAGAAAAATTATGAATTAAATAATTTACAATTAAAGTGCATTTTTTATAATAGAAAAAAGAGTTTCATTACAAAACACTTATTGTTATCACTATAGGACACTTTTTAAATAATATAAAAAAATATCAAGAATAAGAAATTATGGTTTTTAAACAGGTGTATTTAAGTTTCAAAAATCAAATTTTGAATAAATGTATTATTAGAAAAATAAAATAAGGTGGGTATAAACTATAATTGGAATGCTTGATTAATCATTACGTTGTGAATATATGCCCTCTAAAATATAAAAACTTAAAATAAGCACTATAAATCGTACTAAACCTTTTTTTGAACAATATAAATTTATAATCTAAAATCGTGTTAAAAAATATATATTTACTTGTGACTTTAATACATTATATAGTTGCTTAATTCAAAGTGGAATTCTGATAATTTTCCAATAAAATTTTTTTTTTAGTACATAAATAAAATATAAATTTTAGTTTTTTTTTTTTTGTTAAATAACTTTCTGTTACATACATATTATCATAATGTGGATTGTGGACTATGGCTTTTATTAATTTCGTACTAGATTAAATCATATTATTTTTTAAATATATTTGTAATATTTGTCGCTTGTTGATAGCTAGCTAGAAGTGTTAGGTAAAATCTGATTATACACGTCCAATTATTTATCATTATACATTCTAATTTAACAAATAGGTACATTACAGTGACTTACTCTTCAATGACTAAATATACTAAACACTCTTATTCTACAGTAGAGTAATTATATACTTGTTTTTTTATTTATTTTGGTTTCATTTCGCTTTCATATGGTATAAATAGAGCGCGATTTAAAATAAGCATAATATAAAAATATAATAAATATTTACATTCAAGACCAAATTGAATAATTTTGGTTATTAAGATTTTAATTTATATTAGTTTTTAACACATGTAACAAATTTATTGATTCTGAACGGAGCGACTAATTTAGTATTTTATTTGTAGTGTTATACTTTTTAGAGCAGTAAAAGTGATTCAATTTTTGACTTAAGAAATTGATGTCTGATATAAAAATTGGATCTATTTTAATACTTTGTTAGGGAGAAATGGGCATTTTTTACACACGAGTATTTGGACAATTTAATATTGTTTTTTTTTTTTTTATTGTTAATCCAAAAACAAATAACTGTATACTAGAATTTTTCACTAAGTTTTTATGTTAATATTTCATAGATTATATAATTTTCAACTTATTTTGGCTCTTTATAGAAATTTATATTGTCTACTTCATCTTAAATTAAGTGTTACTTAAAAATTAATTTAATGATTTTATTTATAGTATATTTTTTATTAGTATCATCATGATTAGAATTAATTGATATGTGATAGCTAATTTATAATCAAACAGGATTTTTAACTTAAAACTACACTTTTTGTTTATTTGTAATACTTGCCCATTTTTAAAACCATATTAATTTTAACATATTATAGCGTTACATTATAATTAGTTTAAATGTATTGTACAATATTTGATTAAAATATCAAATTTTTGGTTAAGTATTTATATTAAATATATGTTTAATGTTTAATTTCAGCATTTTACAAACAACTAACAAGGTTTAAAGTAGCACACTTGGAGATTAAAGGTTCAAAAAAATTCATAAAAATATGGTAATGTATTTGCTCTACCAACTAAGAAGTTGGAGAAATTTATTATACATTTTAGACCGGTATGAGAATTTACATTTGAATAACACTAAAAATATGAAAATAAAAATCTAAAAATTGAATATTATCACCATTATTTAAGTCAATACATAATCAAGTCAATAATAACAAACTTATTTTATATTAAACAATTTCTAAAAAAATATTTTTAAAGACCAACAAAAAAAAAAAAAAAATTAAAAAAATAAAGACGGTGCATTAAAAATGTATGCAATTTTTGTACAGGTTTATGTATAAACCCAAAGAATAAATAGTAATTATTATGTACAGAGTAATAATTATTAATAGTGGTATCTAATCAAATGCAAAACTGTTTTAAATATTGAAACTGAGATGCTATTTAAAAATGCTTGTGTGTAGACTTATCAGGTAATAAGTTGTGCGCAACCAAAACTTCTATTGGTGTTTATATAGCGCAAATGGATTTGTTCACTTGTCGACCAATTAAAATAGAAAACATAATAAAAAAATTCTCCTAGTTATATTGTTCTGGTAAGACATAAGAAATGTCGTCCCATGGATGACGATAAAGTCCTTGTTTTAATCTCTTCTGATCCATAAAATGTCCTAAAAATAAAGGAAAATTGAATATTATTAAAAATATGTTTTTATTCTTTTTAAAAGGATGTTAGTATACTGTGTTTTCTTTCTCTGGTCAACGTACAACATAAATACAATCCCTTTGCACAAAATCATTTTTTTTTTATGTTTTGAGAAATCTTAAGATAAAATCACCAATTACAAAACTTATAAAAATTATTTTTCAAAGGTATAATAGTGATATTATCTCAAAACAATTAAATATCCATAAAAATTTACAATTTTTCAATATAAAGCTAAAAATAATTAAGTTGGAAACTAATAAATTAATGTATTTTATTTATGTTGTAGGTGTATCCAAGAATGAAATAAATAATATGCTGACATTCTTTTGAAATATCTTTCATATTATAGTATATTACTTACCAATAAATCCAATACTTCTTCCGAGTACAAACAAACTGTTAATTGAGCCCATATCAATATACTCTTGGGCTTCTTCACGTGTAAAACTTCCACTATGTCTCAATAAGTCACAGAATGATACAGCAATACATCCATCAACATTCAATATAAGATTAGGTTTTTTAGATGTAGTAATTTTTTCTACTTCAAGAGCATAATTTAATAATGGTGTGGCTGGAAAATTTTCTAAAACAAATTCTTTTATGATCTTGACTCTCATATCTGGATTATTGATCTTAAAAAGTTATATACATAATTAATATTAACATTTAAATTTAATAGAAAAATTAATAGCTTACTGATTTCACGCGATGACCAATACCCATGATGAGTGATCCCTTTTTACGCATTTGGTTGACAAATTCCATTGGAATTAATCCAGAGTCATATGCTTCAGTAAATTGTTTAGCAGCTCCATCCAAAGCACCACCAAATCTGTCTCCGATAGTCAATAAACCAGAAACCAAAGATGAAACTAGATCTTTGCCTGCTCTTGCGCAGACAATGGTATTGTGAGCACCAGATACAGCTGGTCCATGATCAGCAGTTACCATAAGACACATTTCAAAGAACTTGCACACATACGGTGGTAAAGAACGTTGGAACCATAAAAGCGATATAACTCCTCCAATACCCATATCTGCTTTAAGAACATCACTGATTGGCATACCAGCATATAATAACTCTTGTCCACGTTCATCACAAATACTAGTCATAAATGAAGCTGGTTTACGAATAAGGCCAAGTTCACGTGCCCAAGAGTAGTCCATGGGAACAGTTGGTGGTGGTAATTCAGCTTGAGGAATGATAACGCCTTCTTTCACTAATTTCTTGTAAACATCATGAATTATATCACCCAAAAAGTCAAATGAAGTTGGTACATATGCACCAGCCTCTCGAAGGCTGGCATTTTTGGTAGTAGCTGTTTCTTGATCAGAGTTGGCACATGAACCAGCATGACCAAATTGAACCTCAGACGTAAACATACCTGTTGAA